AGACAGGCAAAATTTCATGAAAAATGAAGCTAAAATGCAATATATACCTAATTTAACAATTGATGTGAAATTCAACTAAATGTTTTTCACACCACATGATTTTAGCCATCTTATTTAACACCGTTCTTAGGTCAGGACTCATCCTCAGTCTAACGGATGATTCCTTTATATCTTCTATTAAAGGGTACGTCTCCCTTCGAAAGAGCGTCTAGACTACAATCGCTTCTTTCAGGCAGTCTGCATGCTTTCTTTCAAAAAAGCCCCATTTGAATTCGAGAACAACTTTTTTTGAAAGAGCATATTCGAAAAAAAGACATTCTTCCTCATAAAATGAGGTTTATCCCAGTCAAAAAAACGGCTGCGTTCTTTCTATTTAATTTCAATAGAAAGCGGCGGTAGTCTAGATGTAGGGGAAGCTTTTTTTGAAAAACTTTGTAGTCTAGACACACCCAAGTGACTCAAGCAGAAGAGACAAAAGTGGGAATATCTGCCCCTTCCTTTTTAGTCTTCTCGCACCCCCTCTGACAAATATTTCCTCTTGATAACAAGGAGACAAAATGTCTATGTGGAAGGATGTTCCCTGCTGGTTTTCCTCTCCTTTTTCACCTTCCGTTGTTTCTCTTCCCGCTTGATGATTATTTGCTCCTTAAATTCAAAATTAATCATAGCAGACATTGTTTTGTTTAAGACACATCTCTTCGCCAACCTCAATTGGGAACTTGTGTTAATAACACCATAGCGGAATTTTGCAGCATCACATAGATTGTTGCCAAATATAGTTTCTCAGGATGATGCTTATCAGCAAATTATCATTTTTTCAAATAATACATTACAAGGTATGGAATTATCTTTTGCATGGGAATAATCAGATGTCCATGAAAATATCAAACTTTCCTCCTCCCCAAACCGTGGCTGTAGGACTCAGTGATATATATGGTGAGATAAGCAATAGGAGAGTCCTTCCTGTACAGTGTGTTGGGGGAGGATGGCATTGAGTTTGAGAGCCATGAAAGAGAATGGTGGGGTGGGGTATCTGTTGGACCCCATGAGATTTGCAACACTTTGGTTTCCACCTTCACTTTGTTTATGAGCTCTTCTCAGTACCAGATTCAACTAAAAACTTCAGGATGAAATATACCCAGAACTTCATACACTGTAACTCTGGTAGAAATTTCAGGGGATAGCTGTGTTAGTCTGTTAGAGAAAAAAACAGGAAGCAAATGTTTTGGTAACACTTTATAGACTAACAAAACATGTAGATGGTATCATGAGCTTTTCTGGGCACAGCCCTCTTCTTCAGATGACCGGAGTTATGACTAGGGGATAAGAAAACTCAAAATAAATAGGAGAAGCAGGAGGGGGGAAATATATTCAGTCGCCCACTCCCCTACCTCTATACATAAAGGCTGTGTCTACACTGGCCACATAACCCGTAATAGCTATGGAAATGAGAGAAGTCAGAATAGGGAAATGCGCGGGGGATTTAAATATCCCCCGCGGGATTTAAATAAACATGGCCGCCGCTTTTTTCCGGCTTGGGGAAAAGCCGGAAAAGAGCGTCCAGACTGGCGCGATCCTCCGGAATAAAGCCATATTCTGGAGGATCTCTTATTCCTACTTGCAAGGAATAAGCTATTACGGGTTATGTGGCCAGTGTAGACACAGCCAGTGTATCAGGAGAAAGGGTGCTAAAGCTGAGCAGATAAAGATCAAAGTCAGTAGATAGATTGCTAAGGCAAGAAGGATACCATTCAGAAAGCTGTTAGCACCTTGAGTGATAAAAGGTCCACCACGCCATATCTTGATTAAGTCCATTAATAATTGAATTGAATTTGCATACCTTCATGCTTCCAGCTCCCATCCCAGACACATTTCTCAGTCGATTGTATTCAGCCAAGCCCTACGATACAACCGGATTTGCTCCATCCCCACAGACAGAGACAATCACCTACAGGATCTTTACAGAGTATTCATAAAACTGAGATACCAACCTGTGGAAGTGAAAAAACAAATCGACAGAGCCAAAAAAGTACCCAGACATGAACTACTTCAAGACAGACCCAAAAGAGAAAATAACAGAACTCCTTGTGTTGTTACCTACAGTCCACAACTCAGACCCCACCAACGCATTATACACAATCTATAACCCATCCTAGAAAATGATCCCTCACTCTCAGAGGCCTTAGGAGAAAAACCTATTCTTGCCTACAGACAACCCCCTAACCTGAAACTTATTATTTCTGATAACCCTGCCACACAACCACATCATAAACCTCCAGGAACCCGGCCCTGCAACCAGAAAAGATGCCAACTCTGCCCACATAGCTACACTGAGGAATTCATTACTGGAGAAAACAACACAAGCCACAAAATCAAAGGGTCATTCGAGTGCTCATCTAATAATTTGATCTACGCCATCAAATGCCAATAGTGCCCCTCTACTATATATATTGGTCAAACTGAACGTTCTCTATGGGAAAGAATCAATGGACACAAATCGGATATACGTAAAGAAAATACTCAGAAGCCAGTGGTAGAACGTTTTTGTTTACCTAACCATAATCTCACAGATCTGAAGGTGGCAGTCTTGTCACAGGCCATCTCCTCAAACAAAATACCCAGGGAAAGCTTGGAATTACAATACATATGCAAATTCAATTCAATTACTCATGGACTTAATCAAGATATGGTGTGGTGGACCTTTTATCACTGAAGGTGCTAACAACTTTCTGAATGCTATCATTCCTGCATTCATGCCCTTTGTTGATGAGGTCTGCTTAGTACCCGGTTAAACTAAAAACTTCAGGATGAAGTATAACCTGAACTTCATACACTGTAACTCTGGTAGAAATTGCATCATTTAGAAACACAGGAGGAAATAGTGAGACAATTTCTCCTCGGGGTATGAGTTACACTGGGGAGAGCTTTGGTTCACTGAATGGATTAATTAGGTGTTTTTCGACTCTGAGCTATGCTATTCCCAGTTGTTTCAGGGAGTGTATAAAAGTTTCCAAAAGCTCTAAACAGACAGTTTCTGTCAATGGGGAAACACCCCCACGTCTCTCTCTGCTGTCAGCCGGTACAGGCTATTCTCCTGCATCATAGTCACACACAGATGAACTTGATGGTGTTTGGCAGGTACAGGTTTCAAAATCTCCAGAACTTAAAAATAACTTATCTCAACTGCTTTTCCAGGAGGGAACAGAACAAGCTCTTTGCTTGGAAAAAATAGGTTACTGCACAATCACTGAATTTAGTATCTTTCAGAAAGTGTCTGGGTTTTCATACAGACCAAAGTACATTAGAGAGTCAGATGCCTGGACACTTAATTATTACAGCACACAAGCTTTTCCTCGAAGCGATATTTTGAGCCACAGAGCTGCTCTTGCAAAAGAGAAATAGAAAGATTTATAATCATTTGCTCTCACCCAATCTTGAGCTAAGCAATAATCTTGTCACACTTGGGATGGTAGTTGACGCTAGACTCACAAGACAGTCTTTGCTGCTTAAATTAATGACCAGGGGGATGATTAACCTGCATGTCCTTGTATGCGTACAGTGAAATTGATCAAAGAAATGGAATCACCAGTTGTCAAGCTATGGCTCCGTGAACAAAGTCCTTCCCTGAGATTGTACTTGCGTCCAATAAGAAACCAATCTTCATTTTTCTTCGCTTTCCTCATTACAGCAAAGGGTAAGATTTCGTGAGTCACCATCCCCCGTACCGCAGTGGCAACATTTCTGTAGCTGCCTGATATCTGCTCAAAGGAGATGGAAGAAGGAAATCGCTCATGGGTATCTGAGTTCATTCTCTCTGGATTGACGGATCGTCTGGAATTGCAGGTCCCTCTCTTTATTTTGTTCCTACTGATTTATATTATCACCGTATTGGGAAATGGGGGGATGATCTTGTTAATCACAATTGACCCCCGACTCCACACGCCCATGTACTTTTTCCTCCAGAATTTGTCTTTTTGTGATATCTGTTGTTCCTCCATAATTTCCCCTAAAATGCTGCAAAGTTTCATATCTGAGAAGAAAAGCATTTCATACACTGGCTGCTATACACAATTGTACTTCGGCATCTTTTCTCAAGACATTGAATGTCTCTTGCTGGCTGTGATGGCGTATGACCGTTATGTGGCCATTTCTAACCCACTCCACTATACACTCACCATGTCCAGGAAGTGTTGTAACCTGCTGATGGCTGGAGTCTATGGGGTGGCATTGGCTGATGCAACGATAATCATCTGCTTTTCACTCCGGCTGTCATTCTGCAGCTCCAACGTTATGAAAAATTTCTTCTGTGACACACCCCCACTGCTGGCGCTCTCCTGCTCTGACACCCACATCAATGAGATTGTGCTGTTTGCCTCTGTATGCTACACTACAGTGTTCAGCATTGTAACCATCCTCCTCTCCTATGTCTGTATCATCTCCACCATCCTACAAATCCGCTCCGCCGAGGGCCGGCGCAAAGCCTTCTCCACCTGCACTTGTCACTTGACAGCGGTGGCCATGTTCCATGGCAGCCAACTCTTCATGTATTTACGTCCTACCTCCAGCTATTCCATGGAAACAGACAAAATAGCCTCAGTGTTCTACACAGTGGTGATCCCCATGTTGAACCCCATCATCTACAGCCTGAGGAACAAGGAGGTGAAGGGCGCCCTGCAGAAAGCAATACATAAACCTTTCTCTCATGCTTAAATCTCTTTAACTCTGTACAGATTCAACAAATGGTGAGCAAAACAGTTGTATTCCATTCCCAGCCAATTGCAATGTCATTTTGCAGTGTCCTATAGTAGCATTGTTCATGAACATGTTGTACTATGGTAAATTTGTATTCCAAGTAGGTCTACAGGCCCCAGCAAAGATCAACATTTTCTGAGGGTTGGTCTATGCTACTGCTGCCAGTCAATCTAAGGTGCAGTCGTTTGAAGTCAGCATAGCTTAATCTTATCTACGGCAGTGTCCACATGATGCTATGCTGACAGAAGAGTTATGGAACTGAATTATGGAGCCAATGAATTCCCAAATCCTTTGTATAGCTTGGTGTTACTGCACTAAGAAATGTGATGCTCCCAACTCCTAGACTTGGAGATTTTTAGCTTCTATAGTGAACACTAAAGAGTTGATAAGATGTTCAAGTATTTGCTGATACTAAAAGTAACGGTAAATAGATTCTTCCTCCCATGCTCCCATTGAATTCTGCTCACTGTAAATGATTCTTGTAATTGACTATTTGTGGTTGCAACTTTATTTCTACTATCTATATTGAATGATGGAAAATTAAAATATGGGAATTGACTGAATTAAAAAAAAATACCTGCCAGTCTGCTCAATATGTAGTTGCCTCGTCTCTTTCCAACTATAGGAGGAAACATTTTCAAAAGAATCCATTATTACAGGGAGCCTATGGAGAAGTAAGAAAATGTGGCTCTTATATTCTTTCTGCCTCCCTTTGCCCATCCCTCAGTGGGAGTAACTCCACTTCTTTGAAGGACCTTCCTTTGCCCTCATCAATGACGTGCTTCCAAGTACCTCAAAATGATTATTGTATTTATTGACATCACTTCCATGTTAAGTAGCACTGTTGTATCTCCCTTTCTCAAATATGCAGCTGAGGCACAAAGAAAGTAAATGTCTTGCTTCAAGGTCACACAAGAGGTCTGCTATTGAGCCAGGAACTGAGCCCCAAATTACAGAGAGCTAGATCAAGGGCATGTCTACGCTCTCTTTGCCCTGCTTTGAACACTTTCAATGCTGGAGTGAGGCAGCCTACCGCTTGACAGCCCTCATTTTTTCCCTTTGTTGTCTTGCCTCCAATGAGGGCTCTGTGCCCACTTCTACAGCTGCTGAAACAGTCCTTTTTTTTTGCACAGTGACCTGAGCTACACAGGTCCGCCAATAACCTGTGGTGGGAAAGGTCCAGGTTGGTTATTAAGAAAAACTATTTCACTAGGAGGGCGGTGAAGCACTGGGATGGGTTACCTAGGGAAGTAGTGGAGTCTCCATCCCTAGAGGTTTTTAAGTCTCGGCTTGACAAAGCCCTGGCCGGGTTGATTTAGTTGGGATTGGTCCTGCCTAGAGTAGGGGGCTGGACTCAATGACCTTCTGAGGTCTCTTTCAGCCCTATGGTTCTATGATTCTATGAACATTTCATTTTTTTCCACCCTCAATTTTTTAGTCACTATGCACCGCAGTTTGCCCAGTGATCTCTCTATTCCCTTCTGTATTGGAGGGTTCCTTTCCCCCATTGTCCCTACAGACCTTTGCCCACATTCTCCACCGTATGTAATGGTATTATGAACGTGATTCCTTGAATTGAAGCAGGGACATATGTTTTTTCCTGGGCACAGACGTGGAGTGACAGATGTGTGCGTTTGTGACTTCAGAAACTCATGGTTATTTCTACTCATGCTCAGGGAAGCATGACTTTGTGTACATTACATGCAAACCTCTCCCCAGTGGATTACACTAAAGCTGATTTTCTTCCTAATACAATGAAACCTTCAAGGTTTCAGAGATTTGCATCACATGGGGAAAGAGGACACCAATGTGTCCTATAGCAGTGAGTAACATCAGCCTAATACATGGGGGAGGTTTTCTGCTACCAGAGTGAAGAAGGAGAGAGACATCAGTGGACCTACAATGGTGGCAGGTATTGACCATAATGTGCTTGTGCATTTGTAGCCATGGATCAGTGCAGGGGCCCTTTCCTGTGGTAACCTGGCCCTTTCAGATTAATCTAATACTGTGAGAACCACACCTCTGATGTTACTGGATAATTTCTAGGTCGGTGCTAGTGACATCCCAAGGTGCAACTCAGATTAATCGGCAGTTGTGTCACACAGGCCTGCAGTTTTGTATGCCTTACAATACCTTACTGAAGTGGCTTCCAGGTGGGCTACTCTTAAATCACCTTCCAACATGCTAGATGTAGCCGGATCATCTCTTTCCAGACTGCCACCCACACTCAGGTTACACCCAGGCTCTCACGAGCCTTGGTTTTCTTCAAGGTTACCCCAACACACTCCAGAGTCTTCAATTTCCCTCCTGACATGTACGTCTTCTGCTGCCAACTCCTCTCCTATACAATTCAGATTAGATTGTCCATTATTTCCTTAACAGTAAAAATATGCATATAACTGAATTTCTCAGGCAATTTGCGGTTAGACAGCAAAAATATGCATATAACTGAATTCCCCAGGCAATTTGCGCACAGAGATCAGATAAAACAAATGTATTAACCAGCAAGTGATGGATTTTAAGTGAGTACAAATTGTGAGGCATGGAAGACCGGCAAAATTTCATGAAAAATGAAGCTGAAATGCAATATATACCTAATTTAACAACTGATGTAAAATTCAAATAAATGTTTTTCCCACCATGTGATTTTAGCCATCTTATTTAACACAGTTCTTAGGTCAGGACACCTCCTCAGTCTAACGGTTGATTTCTTCATATCTTCTATTAAAGGGTTCGTCTCCCTTCGAAAGAGCGTCTAGACTACAATTGCTTCTTTCAGGCAGTCTGGATCCTCTCTTTCCAAAAAGCCTCATTTGCATTCAAGAACAACTTTTTTTGAAAGAGCAGATTTGAAAAAAGGAATTCTTCCTCATAAAATGAGGTTTACACCAGTCGAAAAAACTGCTGAATTCTTTCTATTTAATATCAATAGAAAGCAGCAGCAGTCTAGATGCGGGGGTAGCTTTTTCGCAAAAACGCCAATTTTTTCAAAAAACTCTGTAGTCTAGACACACCCAAGTGACTCAAGCAGAAGAGACAAAAGTGGGAATATCTGCCCCTTCCTTTTTAGTCCTCTCGCACCCCCTTTAACAAATATTTCCTCTTGATAACAAGGAGACAAAATGTCTATGTGGAAGGATGTTCCCTGCTGGTTTTCCTCTCCTTTTTCACCTTCCGTTGTTTCTCTTCCCGCTTGATGATTATTTGCTCCTTAAATTCAATATTAATCACTGCAGACATTGTTTTGTTTAAGACACATCTCTTCGCCAACCTCAATTGGGAACTTGTGTTAATAACACCATAGCGGAATTTTGCAGCATCACATAGATTGTTGCCAAATATAGTTTCTCAGGATGATGCTTATCAGCAAATTATCATTTTTTCAAATAATACATTACAAGGTATGGAATTATCTTTTGCATGGGAATAATCAGATGTCCATGAAAATATCAAACTTTCCTCCTCCCCAAACCGTGGCTGTAGGACTCAGTGATATATATGGTGAGATAAGCAATAGGAGAGTCCTTCCTGTACAGTGTGTTGGGGGAGGATCCTGTACAGTGTGTTGTGGGAGGATGGCACTGAGTTTCAGAGCTCTGAAAGAGAATGGCGAGGTGGGGTATCTGTTGGACCCCATGAGATTTGCAACACTTGGGTTTCCACCTTCACTTTGTTTATGAGCTCTGCTCAGTACCAGGTTCAACTAAAAACTTAAGGATGAAATATACCCTGAACTTCATACACTGTAACTCTGGTAGAAATTTCAGGGGGTAGCCGAGATAATCTGTTACAGAAAAAAAGAGCAAGCAAATGGTCTGGTAGCACTTTATAGACTAAGAAAACATGTAGATGGTATCATGAGCTTTCGTGGGCACAGGCCTCTTCTTCAGATGACTGGAGTTATGACTAGGGGATAAGAAAACTCGAAATAAATGGGCAGGGGGAGAAAGTTGTCACCATGCCATATCTTGTGTGGCAAGGGCCCCTCTTCTCCAAGCCACTATTGGGGTTTTGCAGCGGGTCTCAATGGTAGGGAGCCCGAGCCAGGGGCCCACAGGCTCCCTTTTTGCTGCCTTTACCTAATGCTGGTCCAACTTGTTCTCTCCCTTTCTTCCTCTCTGCCTCTCCACCACCTTCCTTTCGTCCTCTCACTCCTCTCCCCAGCCTCCAACTGCTGAGGCTTTTAAAGGTCCTCAGCGAGACAGCAGAGAAGTCAGCTGGCCCCAATTTGCCTGAGCCAGCTCCCTCCCAGCTGCACCTAATTGTGCTGCAGTTCTCTGCTTTTCTAACAGGAGTTTTTCCCTTTGGGGCTGCCTTTTCGAGACGCTCTCCTGACCTTTGGGTCGGGGAGCGGTCTGCTGCAGGGCCTGTGGGGGGCCGCTGATTCACCTGCCCGCGAGGATCCGCCCCCGGCACTTGTCACTTGACAGCGGTGGCCATGTTCCATGGCAGCCAGCTCTTCATGTATTTACGTCCTACCTCCAGCTATTCCATGGAAACAGACAAAATAGCCTCAGTGTTCTACACGGTGGTGATCCCCATGTTGAACCCCATTATCTACAGCCTGAGGAACAAGGAGGTGAAGGGCGCTCTGCAGAAAGCAATACATAAACCTTTCTCTTGTGCTTAAATCTCTTTAGCTCTGTACAGATTCAACAGTGGTGAGCAAAACAGTTGTATTCCATTCCCAGGCAATTGCAATGTCATTTTGCAGTGTCCCATGATAGCATTGTTCATGAACATGTTGTTACTATGATAAATTTGTATTCCAATTAGGTCTACAGGCCCCAGCAGAGATCAAAATTTTCTAGGGTTGGTCTATGCTGCTGCTGCCAGTCAATCTAAGGTGCACTAGTTTGAAGACAACATAACTTAATCTGATCTACAGCAGTGTCCACATGATGCTACGCTGACAGAAGAGTTATGGAACTGAATTATGGAGCCAATGAATTCCCAGA